CCCGGAGCACTTGGCGGGCGCAGACAAATGCCCCCGCGGGCGCTATGGCGCCCGCGGGCACCGTGTTGGGGACCACGGATCTAAGGTGTGGTGAAAGTAAGCAGGTGCACAGCTTTGTGCACAGCTCCGGCAAGAGCTGGCTGAGCTGCAGAAAAAGCCAGCAAGGAGTTATTTAAAAAGCTGGCAGGGACCCAGGTTGCAATAGAGCACTTGGCGGGCGCAGACAAATGCCCCCGCGGGCGCTATGGCGCCCGCGGGCACCGTGTTGGGGACCACGGATCTAAGGTGTGGTGAAAGTAAGCAGGTGCACAGCTTTGTGCACAGCTCCGGCAAGAGCTGGCTGAGCTGCAGAAAAAGCCAGCAAGGAGTTATTTAAAAAGCTGGCAGGGACCCAGGTTGCAATAGGACAGTACAGGTAAGAAATTTTAAGTTACTTTGACAACCCACAGGACTACTTGTTTTACTGCATTGCGTGAGGCGTTCTATTACAATGGATCTTTTGATTCTTAGGGTGTCATTTGCATGCTGCATTTCTCTTTCATTTGTCTGGTGTTTTCAGCTAATGTGAAGCAATAAATACATACCCAGTGCTTTTTTTGTGATGGTACTGCCCGGTACTCAGTACCAGCACCTCCAGTCATAGCTCAACAACTTTTCCCCTGGACTACCAGCACCTTTTCTTTTTTCCCCCCCTTTCCTCCCCATAAAAAGAGCACTGAACATACCCATTGTTAAAAAGTCGGACAGTGAGGGCACATCTACACAGCCGGGTTAAACTCGAAATAAGCGAACGCAACTTGAGCCACGCTAATTGTGTAGCTTAAGATGAAATAGCTTATTTTGACTTTTGGCACTGTTTACACAACACTTATTTCGAGAGAGCACTTCTTCCCCAGACTTCCCTTATTCTCCATATAATGAGGATTACAGGAGTTGGGAGTAAGAAGTCCTCCATCTCAACATTTTTGACATTATGTTGAAATAACTACTTGTGTGTAGATGCGCACAATGTTATTTCAGAATAACATTAGTTATTCCGAAATAACGCTGCTGAGTAAACATAGCCTGAGTGACCAGGGAAAGTCATTCACTGCAATTCAGAGGCTAGTGTATCATAGAAGCACAGACAGTTACAATCCGTTTTACTGATTCTCTCCACCATCTCTCTTCCCTCCTCCACCCCTCCAGTGTGCACACACAGTTAGCCAACTGGCTGTATCACTAAATTAGAGTCAGGCATCCACCAGTCTAATGGTCTAACACCAGTTCTGTTTATATACTGGCTGGTGAGAGACAGGGCTAGTCTCTAGGCCACTGAGTCTGCCTGACAGATAGAGAGTCAGAGTGGGGCCCATAAGGTATCCCTGTATTATAGTAGTCAGGCCAATGTAGAGAAGAGAAAGACCACTCTCCTTGGGGCTGCTATCCTTTCCAGACAAGTAGCAGTTAGTTGAGACAGTCAAACCTCCCTTCCCCCAGCTCTACATGCTGGGGAAAATTGTCTGTACAATATATGGGGCTGGTACAAGGATCTTCCCCCTGGAGTAGAAGGAAAGCAAGAAGCAGATTTTACGAGTGCCCAAACCATGGCTGGCTTCAAATTTGAACCAATCCCAGTTCAAAATACATTGATGAACTGCACTAACCATTGCTCTCAGCCTCTGGCATGTTCAAACTGGGAGAGTTATATGCACTGGGGTGACTTCTGACCCAAGAGAAATCAGTCAACAGCAGGCTCTGTTCATCACTGAAGTCCTCAGTCGAGGCTCTCTAGCCCACAGTGTAGTTCATCCTTAAAAATCCAGCTGTTTAGAAACATTAATTTTACTCTTAGTTAATTTCATCCTTACCTCAGTTGTTTACATTTCTATACCAATCACTTTGAAGTTGATCCATTCCCTCTAGTTATTTAGGTATCTTACAGTTTTTAAGGCACTCAGATGTTCCATTATTAGAAGACTGCTGCATTTTCATTTGGCTTTCTCTTTTTATTAAGTTTTGTTCTGTCCTTTTTTTGCTTTAGGTTCTCTTAGCTAGCATACTTCATATGCAGATCCACTGTGCTACCCTAATTGAGAGCACCTTCCTGTGAAGTCTACCTTAAGTAAGCCAAGACCTCCTCTCATGGATGATTGCCAGGTGGACATGGGTGTTAAGCAGTTCCAAAGAAGCCCACCATGAGTTTAGGTACTTTTGCCATTTTAATATAATGTAGTATAACTGCCTTTTTCCTCCCCGGGTTACTCGGGAGCAGGTCACACTCACAGGTGTGCCTGGGTGCCTGATGGTTTTAACATAAAAGGAGATCCTGAGTACCCCAGTGGTGGTGATGTTTAGTTGGGGAAACCCTGTCCACTCCCTTACTGCTGTTCCTTTCTCATAAAGAACATACAATGGCGGTGCCTCCACCTGGCTGGCCCTGTACACACTTAACGGTGTGCCTTGAGAGCCTCCAGGAATAAAGTTATTCCAGCAATAATCTGGATCTAACTCAGGAACAACAGCTACAAATCATATACATCTAATAGATTACATTAGATTGAACAACCTTTACTTAGCAACTTAAAGAAACAGGGTTTAACAGATTAACAGTGAATAACATTAACAAAGTACACAGCAATAATAGGAAACTTATCTATCTGGCATATGTACTGCCACCATTTATCCCACTCCTTAGAACTCGCAGTACCATACAGTTGCTTGCATGGGCACACTTGAAGATTTTGCAGCTGGAGTGAATGATTCTAGTCTCCTTCTGTGTGCTGGATGCAGTGTAGCTTTTAGCCACAGGTATAGCCAAAGGGCAATCAGAAGCAGCCTGCTAGATTCCAGTCCCAAAGGCTCTTAGTCCAAGTCTGTAGCTACAACCTAACAGCTCCTAAAATGGATCAAACTCCTCCACAGCAGCCTGGCTCTTTTTCCCCCCCCCAAAACAAAGGGGAAGAATCCACAGACTGCTGAGCCTTCCTCCACACACATGGAAAGACTCAGATCCCAAAACCAAAAGTCACTTCCTTCCTGGATTCCTCAAAGCCTCATGGGAATTGTAGTCTCTGGGGTTAGATTGCAGCACACAGGATCTTCTCAGAGAATAAGCAGAGGTACCTTTAGTAAGGGAACTATAGTAGTTATGGGGAATTTCACTTTTTATGTGAGTTGACCCAAATGAGGAAGCCAGAAAACAGGTTTAGTTCACTAAAGTCTGCAGCAACAGACTCCTTGACTGGTACCTGCAATGGTTATCAAGTCCCAATTCAGAAAAGCACTGAGTACATGCTTAAGAATGTGCTGGAGTGCTTTGCTGAATTGGGACCTTAACGGAAGGGCTGCTGCTGCTCCCAGTCAACGATATAGAAGATGGCAAATTAGTGTGTATTGTAAGTTGGCAGCCTGATTCAAATATGAAAAAGCAACAGCAGGGTACCAATAATAGCAATGATAAGTCTGTTTCCACATCAGCATACAGTTCAACAAAGGGAGCTGAGGTGTAAAACAAAAACGAAACCTGAACATTTGTATATTTTTAGAATTTCAATTAACATAACTGCCTGCAGAATGTGGAGGCAGAGCAGCGGAGTCAGTGAAGTATGTTGATCACAAGACTTTGCTTTTGCCACAACACCATGTTTATGTTATAGAATAAAAATCTATTAACGGTTGGAGGAGAAATAAAAACAAACGAAGCAGTCAAGTAAAGCTTAATGTCCTGCTCAGGAACCGTAGGAGGCAAGATAGATTTGATGGAATAGAGAGAGTTCATCAGTACCAGCTCAGCAATATAAGACAGGCAAGCAAGAAATGGAAAAACTAAAGCCCTGATCCTGCATCTGTATTGCCAGCCCATAGACATCAATAACTATTAGGCCCAATAAGCTCATGAGATTCACAGAGCAGCACAAGATTAAGGAGACCAAAGCCATTTGGTGTTTTTTATTTGCTTTTTGGGTTTTGTACCTTTAAAATGCAGTCAGGTCACTAGACACTTTTTTAAAGGGAAGTTGGAATTCTGACAATCACAAGATTCCAAGGCCTGGTATGTTTAAATAAAACAAAAACAAATCATGAGACTAAACTTGTGAGACTAAACATGAGTGCTAAACTTGTGAGAACTAGCAATTGTACAGAGTTCATTTACCATCAGGCACCTTCTCTGCTGCTCTGAGTTCTAGCTCCTTCCAGAATTCAGGCCTCCTTCTGTTGCTCATTCATAAGCCCTGCAAGCTCTCTGGCTGTGCAACACAGCACAGTCTCTCTTTGTGACTCAGGGTGTGTCTAGACTACCTAGTTTTGTCGACAAAAGTGGACTTTTGTCGACAAAACTATACCAGCGTCTACACTACCGCTGAGTTCTGTCGACATAACGTCGACAGAACTCAGCAGTTTTGTCGACGCTGGTAAACCTCATTTTACGAGGCATAACACCTTCTGTCGACAGAACTCTGTCGACAGAAGGTGTTATTGCCTGTAACACTGCGTCCAGACTACGGAGTTCTGTCGACAAAGCAGCTTGCTTTGTCGACAGAACTCAATGTGTCTGGACGCTCTTTGTCGACAGAAGTTTTGTCGACAGATACTGTCGACAAAACTTCTGTCGAAAAAACACGGTAGTCTAGACGTACCCTTAGCTGCTCCCTCTTCATGGCTTAGCCCTCCACCCAGGTCATTATGTGCTTCCCTCCTTCCAGGGAACCAAAGGATCACCAGCTTAGCTGTGCAGTTATCTTGCCAGACCATCCTATAGTTGAAGACTATGCTACCTTCCTATATGGCAGATAGGGAAATCCAGGTCTGCCCTCTATCTTGGAGTCCAGCATAGGCACCATCTGTTCAACAGACAGTCTGCCTACTCTCAGACTCTCTTCTTATTTTCCTATGCTCCTTCCTATCTGCCTACTCTCACACTCTCTTCTTATTTTCCTATGCTCCTTCCTATTCTTCTCCTCCAGCTCTCTGTACCTCTTTCTCCTCATGAAGGTCCTTCTCACCTCAATTTGCTGCTTTGTAGCAGCCCACCCTACAGCTGCTCCTCTGAACTTCATTTTCTATGACCTAGCCAGTCTAATTCTCCTGCAGGCCCAGCCTGTTAGGTTAATTAGCCCCTTCCTAGGTAACTTAACCCTTTCAGGTGAAGTGCAGAGTGAAAGTTCCAGCTCAACAACACTACGTCTACACTGCAGGCTTCTTGCGCAAGAACTGTTTTGCACAAGAGTTCTTGTGGAAAAGGTCTTCCACTGCCATGTGCTTTTGTGCAAGAGATGTGCTTTTGCGCAAGAGCATCCATGGCAGTGTGGATGCTCTCTTGCGTAAGAATTGCTATTAAAATGGAAAACTGGAATTTTGAGTGGGTAGTAAATACATACGGCAGACCACAATTGTGCACCAGATTTTTCAGTTATTGCTGAGGTTAAAAAAGACAGAACTTGCAGACTTGGATGTATGCTTTAAATATAGGCCCTGCTTTACATTCTTAGGCTACGTCTACACTGCAGGCTTTTTGCGCAAGAACAGCTGTTCTTGCGCAAAAAGCCTGCAGTGTAGACGTAGCCTAAGAATGTATAGCAGGGCCGATATTTAAAGCATACACCCAAGTCTGCAAGTTCTGTCTTTTTTAACCTCAGCAATAACTGAAAAATCTGGTGCACAATTGTGGTCTGCCGTATGTATTTACTACCCACTCAAAATTCCAGTTTTCCATTTTAATAGCAATTCTTACCATGACTATCACTGTTCATTATACTGAAGTGCTGCACAAAGTACATCCTGGCCTTTGGGATCACTGCTTTGTTGTCATTTCATTTCTGCAGGATTTCTGGATTAGTTCTACTTATCCCTCAACTTTATTTGAATTTTGCCATGTCCTAAAATAGATACTTCATGTAGCTTATTGCAATAATTACATTAGGTCTTAGGGACACATCGCACGTGGAGTAAGGATATCATGGGCCCCTTAGTCCCCAACTCCCTATCCCCCCGCCCCTGCTGCCTAAAATAATTCTTATTTTTCCCCATACTTCTTGTAGTACAAGCATTAGATCTGCTATTGCACTGTGTTATAGACCTTCCTGTGGGAATGGATGGCTATCTAACTCTAATACCTGAGATAATAATACACAGTAATAGGCAGAGATAATCCAGCCAATAAAGGAGTGAACAATGCTGGTTTGTGTGCTAGTGATGGGTGCTACATCTACACTGCCTCTTTTGCGGAAGAGGCAATGCAAATGAAGCATTCATTAGCAACTTCTGGTGCTTCATTTGCATATTCTTTTCTGGTGCTTTTTGCAGAAGAGGTTTTTGCGCAAAAAAAAGCAGTGTAGACGGGTCTGTTTTGCACAAAACCCCCTTTTGCACAAAAACCTTTAAACCTCATTTTTTGAGGAATAAGGGTTCTTGCGCAAAACGGACCTGTCTACACTGGGTTTTTTTGCACAAAAGAATATGCAAATGAAGCATGAGAAGTTGCTAATGAGCGTTTCATTTGCGTTGCCTCTTCTGCAAAAAAGAGGCAGTGTAGATGTAGCCAATATTGATCAGTAACTAGCAATACATGTGGATTCCCCCACCACAAGTGTTGCATATGCTCCTTGTACTGTTTAGGTTTGATCACATGAATATTTAGCAGCTTTTCGTGTCTGACGACCATGGCACTCATCTTTCCCATCATCACTGAACATCTGTATCATTGAGTATTTCACGCCCTGGTCTCCTGCCTACTGGTATTTGCAATTGTACATATCAGCTCCAGTGTACATGTTATGCCATACCGCTGAGTTAAACCCTTCTGTGATGTGCTGCTCAGATGCCGTGGTTTTGTGTATGTGTGTGGGAGGATGTCCCCATGATGTTTGGATCCTTCACTATTGACATCCATTGGCCACATTTGGGTCACTTCCCCTCCGAGTATGGTGCTCTTGACACTATGATTACGGCAGCAATCTCTTAGCTCAACACAGGGCAATGGTGTTCAGAAAGGGTATTGCACAATAAGGCACAGTTTGCTGTGTAGCTCCAAAGTTGCAAAAGATGTTTCAAGAATGAATATTCTTGTTCTTTTCCAGCAGAGCCACTCTTCTCCTTCACTCACCAGTGTGGATGCCAAGGGAAAGCTCTCCCACCGTTCATTCTGTAAGTTAAGTCAGCCCCCCCCCCCCCCTTTTAAGGTCCTAGTATGGTCAGTTGTATTAAGAGCTATAGAATTTGCAAGCTATGCAACTGGCCAGCAAATACCATTCTGTGCTCGAGCCAACTTTATTCAAAAATGTAGATAATAGGGATGAAGGTTCTCTTAGATGATATAGGGCAGTGATGGATGGCCTGGACTGGGCTGCATGGGTGGCCCTCCATCTCAGTGGGCTGCCAGAGTGTTGTAACCAAGACAGTCTCCTAGGCTAAAATAGTTTTGCTAACTGCTGCACTTGCATACCTAGAATATCTGGGGTGTGCCCATTGAACTGTACTGCACCTTGATTGGATGCAGAGGGAGCACATGGCTCTCACAGTCAATGTTATGTGCAATCAGCATGCACCTCGCTTCACTTGTCCTTGCTTTATGTGCGTGTCTCTTTATCAGTACTAATAACTTTTTCCTATGTGGACAGAAACCAGTGGAATCTGGCAACCCTGCACATGGTCATTGGTAAACAATGTTTTGAAGACCACATATTGAACCACAATGGGCTGCATGCGGCCCATGGGTTGCAGATTGCTCTTCACTGATATAGTGCGTCAACCCTGCACTAATCATACTATTCTGAGCACCGTGGCAGGTGATACACCTTGAGTTTAAAAGTCACGCTGCTTCCTGGAAAGCATTAACTGGCAAACTTGCCATTAAGGCCAGTAACACCAAAAATTGCTGCAGCTGAAAGAGAAATTATAGGTAAAAAAAATGTTTGGTGTTTTACTATTTTCTCCTTTGTTTGCTGTGACAGGCACAAAACACTTTGGCTGTGTCTAAAATCAGCCGCTTTTCCGGAAAAACTTGCCAGCTGTCTACACTGGCCACTTGAATTTCCGCAAAAGCACTGACTTCCTACTGTAAGAAATCAGTGCTTCTTGCGGAAATACTATCCTACTCCCGTTCAGGCAAAAGTCCCTTTTGCACAAAGCTTTTGTGCAAAAGGGCCAGTGTAGACAGCTCAGATTTGTTTTCCGCAAAAAAGCCCCGATCGCAAAAATGGCGATCATGCCAATCTAGACGCAGCCTTTGACTCTAGACAGCTTCCCTAACAGTCGTCTGGGTCTTTTACTGAGTATTGGTCAAAATAAAACTATTTTTAAAACAGGAAACTATAAAGGCAGGTGTGGCAGCTGCATTTTTTTAAACAGCAAAAAATGGATTCGATTTCAAGTTAATGGTGCCCCTTTAACACTACCTTGTAAAAAAACAAAACCAACCACTCTTTATTTGCCTCTTGGGAACAAATGATGATGAAATAAATTGGGCATCACCATACAAGAGGTGAGCTCTGGGTTCTGTCTAACACTGCCTGCTGGACCATAACATTTCCAACCTCTTTTATCCACCATGGTGAAATCCTGTCCATAGATGTCAATGGGAGTTTTGCCATTGACAACAAGCTACTGTCTTCCCCAAGCTCAGTAAAATGAATCCATGGTATGGTTGTTGACAGTCGGGTTGTTTTGCAGGTGTATGATGATGACAGCAATAAGTACAAACCCGGATGAGGAGAGCTACAAACCATGGAGGCGCCAACATCAGAGCCCGCGTTTGTCGACGTGGACAAAGGACTAACATTAGCATGTTTTGTCTTCCTTTGTCTTTTCTTGATTGTGATGATTATTCGCTGTGCAAAAGTCATCATGGACCCTTACAGCGCCATCCCGACTTCCACATGGGAGGAGCAGCACCTGGATGACTGAAAGGGACACTGCTGGAAGCTTCCACAATGCATCCTGGAAGGCCTTTTCCTTCAGAGAGGGTGATTGTATGTTAAACCACATTACGGAGTGGTGCAAATACCTCTGACAGCGTATTGGTTACATTTTCCTGCATAGAACGTTGTAGACTACATTGTGCCCTTATCTATTTCTATGTTAGAACCTTAACAAGACAAATTATGATTGTAGCTTGAATAGCACAAAGCTCTCTAGGCAATAAGGCTCCCTTTAAAGCTTCTTCTAATATAAATCTCAACCTGGCATTCTTTTCCCTTAAGGAATAATGTCAATATTGATTCCAGTAAATAAGGGGGAGGGTAGTTATGAGTACTTGGAAAAGCAATAAGGGGGTTTAATCTTTCTTTTGACAATATGTTTGTCCATTATTTCTGGGTGGTTCTTAAGGCTATGAAAATGCCACACCTTACAGGTGTGCAAAGTCTCTTGGAAATTTCTACCCCTGGGATGTCAGTGACTCTGGGTACATTTAGACTGCAGATTGCTCTTCACTGACTTCCTGACTGAGATCTTCCAAAAAACCTTCTTCCGAAAGAGAGAGTCCACACTGCCAAAGTGCATCGAAAAAGCGACCTGGTTTTTCCAAAGATAGCATCCACACTGAACAGATGCTATCTCGCTTTTAAGTTGTGATTACTATGGACAGAGTGGCCACCAGGGCACCTGTGCTTTTTCCTGGAGGCCTCTTCTTTTGAAAAAACTCCCTCTTCTGCATTCACACATGCCATTTTCCAAAAGAGCTCTTTCGGAAAAGGCATAATTCCTCATAGAATGAGGTTTACCAATGTTGGAAAAACCCCTGTATTCTTTCAATTTTCTTTTGAAAGAACACAATAGCAGTGTGGACGTAAGTGAAGTTTTTTGGAAAAACAGCAGTTTAAAAAAAACCCAAAAACCCTGCAGTCTAGACGCAGTCTATATGTACTAAATAGGCTTATAGGGTGGAGTAGAGAGATGTGCACAAACTTCTTGACTATCTAGATCATAGGACTAGAAGGGATCTTGAGAGATCATCAAGTCCAGTCGCCTGCCCTCACGACAGGATCAAGCACCATCTAGAGTATCCCTGACAGATGTCTATCTAACCTGCTCTTAAATATCTCCAGTGATGGAGATTCCACAACCGCCCTGGGCAATTTATTTCAGTGCTTGAAGAGTTTCCTAATGTCCAGCCTAAACCTTCCTTGCTGCAATTTAAATTCATTGTTTCTTGTCCTATCATGAGAGGTTAAGGAGAATAATTTTTCTCCCTCCTCCTTGTAACACTCAATTAAGTTCAGGTTAAACGTCTCTAGTCCAGCAACCTTGGGGCCTGATCAGTGCTGAACACG